TCGAGAAAATTTCGAGTTAGACGGTTAGAATTCTCTGCCGACGATATATATATACATAATATATATATATAAAGAGCACAATTTGATTATAACGTAAAAAGTAAAAATACCCAGAAAATAATTACATTTAAAAATCATGATGTACTGAGAGACAGAGCAGAGGATTTGTAGTACAATGGTGAACACTATAAACTTACTTCTTAGACTTCAATGGAGATTATATATATATAGATCTAACGGTTTGGCTGATGATGGAGGGGAAGTAGAAGTTCTCGTAGTTGAGTTGAATTACAATCGTAGACCAATGTCTGAGTTGATTTTCAGGTTCTGCGGAAGACAATGAAACAGACATAGATCTATAATTCAATATTGAACTTTGGACTTAGCCAAAAGAGCAATCTGTATCTTTACACAAAATACATTTCATTATAGTTTAGGAATCTTTATTCATTTATCTCTGTACATGTAAAATTTTACATGATACCGTTAGGTAGATTTATTTTCACTAATGTTTTTCTTGGGTCTAAATCATCCGTGGGTTATTTTTGGAGATTCTCCATTATCAGTAGCAGGAGTACAGGACCGGTCTGTCTATGTGGCTTACAATGGTTACTTATCATTATTGTAAAAACAGATTTCTCCATACACTTTACTATATAAACCTACATGAACATACATATTATAAATAATGCCGGCTGTACAGAATTTTAAATAATCCTACCACTTCATAGTAGCGGAAGTTAGGGAAATGAAACATGATGCCTTGTCTTGGCCTTGGCAATTTTTGCTATAGACCGGGCAACATAGGCTACTGCTACCCTAGTGTTACACGGTTCTCTGCTCCCTCCCTAGATCTAGATCTAGGCCAAGATATATGTCGATCTGTATATCTAGTTTAGAGAAATTTGGTGTAAAATTTTTGTGAGAGTCACAAGATGTCAAGCTTTTTCGAATAAGCCCACAATTCTTTGAATATCTTGATAACGACTCAGAATAATCTGACAGCTTTAATTAATAGAGCCGATGCTCACGGTCTTAGTAACTCAAAACGGCCAAAATGTCTAACAGAACTTTGTAATTCTGGAGGTAGCGATACTAGATTCTACAAAGTGTGAGAAAAGAGAACATATATCATGCGTACATAATAAAATAGAATCAGCTTCACAACGGTCAAACGCAATGATTTATACACCCCCCCCCCCCCCCAAAAAAAGAAAGAAATTCTAGCTAGATCAAGGCGTAGATCTAGATTTCTGTACTTTTCCCGATCTGTCAACAGTTCACTGGCATTGAATGTACGTAGGCCTCGCTTCTTTAATTCTTATTTGACGTGTATGCATGGGATCTAGATCTAGATTCTAGATCTTGATTATAATGATTGTTGGCATTTTTATTTCTTCCATTCCTCAAACTTATATGTCTGTGAAATAAAACACACATTCCAGGTCGGATTCTACCCAGTAGACAGTCTTTTTTAGGCCTTAGATTTTTCGGTGCCATAGCCAGAATGAGGAGACAGCAATTTTGTAAACAAAAATGTTTAATGGCGGAGCGTCATCAAACTTTGAAACAGGGTTGTTACTTCGAAATGAAAGAATTGTACAATTTATAATTTCGTCTTGATGGCGCGATTTCTAAAAAATTCAAGAAGCTATAGCGCCTGGAAGAGTAAACAATTGGACTACGAAAACATAGATCTAAATTACAAAAATAATTTTGATGTCATCTTTATCTATGTACATAGATTCTAGACCTACTAGATCTACTCTACATCACGGATCTTTGCGTACATAATGTATCTTTTTACTTTAACGCCATCATATTATCCTTTTGTAGACCCCTTAGGCTTAGGACAATTCATTCATTGTTCATAAAAAATACATCTTTTTACGTTATCGGATCGTTTGTCAAGCTGTTTTCATTTTTCTGTTTGTTCAAATAGATCTAGATCTAGAATCTATATTCTAGACTCTAAGCCACTTTGATCACAAATCGCATCTTCTCTTCGCAGTCGTAGGCTAGTTCTCTCCTCGTTTAATTTTACCGAAAGTTTGAACATTTGCAGTATTATGTAGCAGAATTTCTAATCCATATAAAACCTTTTTGCACCCCTCAGCACATTATGTTTACTCTCTGACTCGCAACCTATCGCGTCAATCTACTCAAAGAACGTGCCAAACGATAAGGAAAAGTTCGCCTCTTTAAAATTTCTTTTATTCTTCTTACTTCTTCTTTTTTTTTCTCTTTGCAACAGTCCTGAGTCCATTCCATAACTTTGTGTAAGTTGTTAGATCTAGATCTAGAATAGCTTTTCCATGGACTTGTTTACGCTATATCTAGATCTAATCTGTCCCCCGTAGAATTATGCAAATTTATATGGCCAAATTATGCATAAAAAAGCAAAATTATGCAAAAATTATGCAAGTTACCGTAACACCATTCGCGGCATGTTTTGCACTTTTTCAACGCGAAGTTTCATGATTTTCATGTTTTATGTACAGAAAAATTGAAAACAGAACATATCAGTATCAGTAATTTGTTGTGTATTTGGAAAAGAAAACAATCCACATCTGTAAGTAAAAAAAATAAAAAAAAATAAAAATAATCTCTGTAACTTTCAGCTGTAGATCTAGAAAAATCTAGATTCTAGATCTAGAAATCTAGACCTAGATCTAGATCTATAGAGGAAAGAAAAAGGTTTATAGAAAATTTTAAAAAACCGAAATTTGGACCTCTGAATGCTGGCACATTACTAAAACCAGGGACACCTGCCAAACATGAAACATCAGCAGACATGAGAACAACAACTTTTGATGGATTGGAAAAATGAACATGCTCAAGGAACAAAATCACAACCCATAGCCAAGATCTTATAACAAGGGAAATAACCAACTTTTCACTTAAATGAGAGTTATTACGGTGATTACGTCCCTTTAGTCACATGGCGAGGCATTAATTAACTGTTGTGAAAAAAAAAAGGAAAAAACGTGAAAAAAGAGAAGAAAAAACGTGAAAAAACGCGGATAATCCAAAATTATGCAAATGTTGCAGAATTACGCGGAAAAAAAACCGCGGCCGCACAATCGCATAATCCTACGGGGACAGTCAAATACAAAATGTAGATAGATCTATATAAATCTAGATCTTAGATCTCAGATCTAGATCTATATAGATATATATCTATATCTAAAATATAGGCCTATCTGGACGGCACTTTGGAGGAGGAGGGGGGGGGATTATCTTATTAAAAGATAACCTCGAGTGGTGTGTAAATTACAATGCAGAATACAGATGGTTCTGGAGATGTCATTGTGGACACGAATGATCGCTTAGATCTACAATGAGTCGATCTGATTTATTTGAATAATAGACTACTCCCGAATTTCCTGGCGCCTAAATTTGAACTTGCATCGACTTCAATTCAGTACTAAATTTAAATCTCAGATCTAGTCTAGAATCTAGTCTACTATAGATCGATCAGTACAAGTTCAAACAGTAACAGTGATGACAGACCTACAGGTAGTAAGGTCCCATGAGGTAGTGTAGACAAACGAGCTTACACTTAGAGACAAATTGTATGAACATTTTGAACGATTTTGCCGTCGGTTTGGCGTGCTTGTGTAGGCTAACCTTGACCACCACTTATCAATGGGCTCGTTTGTAGGATCTCTGTCCAAATCCCTTTATTTTCAGCTGAGAAGGATAGGCCTAGTTCGAAAGTACTTAAGCGAAGAGACCACAAAAACACTGGTAACATCTCTTATCCTATCTAGATTAGACTATTGTAACTCACTCCTGGCAGGTCTGAACAACAAATATTTGAATCGTTTACAAGTAATTCAAAACAATGCCGCTAGACTGATAACAAGATCTAAAAAACGAGACCATGTCACTCCATTATTAAAAGAACTGCATTGGCTCCCTGTAAAAGAACGAATAATATTTAAAATCTGCGTCATGTGTTTCAAATGTGTAAATAAAACTGCTCCTTTTTATCTACAAGAACTTATCAGTATATATAAACCAGGGAGAAACCTAAGATCATCGAACGATAACACCCTATTTGTGACACCTGTAAAATCATACAAACCATATGGAGAGAGATCTTTCTCATATCTTGGTCCATTTATGTGGAACAGATTACCCATGAAACTAAGACAAATAAGAACACTTGATAGCTTCAAAAGACATCTTAAACATTTTCTGTTCCTGCAGGCCTATCCTTCATAAGCTTTTAACGTTATCTTTCATTACATTTGTTCTTTTCCTATGTCTGGATGAAAATAGTCTCTGTGTGTGTGTGTGTGTGTGTGTGTGTGTGTGTGTGTGTGTGTGTGTGTGTGTGTGTGTGTATGTGTGTGTGTGTGTGTGTGCATTAATGTATATTGCTTGAGAAGAAAGGAAGTAGTAAGAAAGGTTTTTGAAAAATGGGTATTCCAATGTAAAGCGCATTGAGCTACTTTTTTTGGAAATGCGCTCTATAAATGTTATATATTAGATCTATTATTATTATTAACTTAGCGTCTTAGTGATTCCATAGCAACAGAGCCAGAAAGCATTTTCCTTCGTAAAGTCTGTGTCAACTTCCTCCTGATATGTCTGGTGTATTATGACTTCATAAGCATGTTTAATAGATTGTGTTTTTACTTACAATCTTAAGTCATCTTTTCCGAGGAAGTTATTTTACAATCCAAGTCCTTGCCATATTAAATTTGTTCCGCTCGGTGATGAGTGGGTACCAGTTCATCAAGTTCATGTTTTCTTTGAAATACAAAAGCTGGACTTGTATCGTTTCGCAAAAAGCACGTCTGCTACCAAGGCAGTAAATAGACCCACGCCTAAAATAATATTTTACATAATGGATGACTTGTAAACTTGTTTTGCACTGTGAATTTAACTTCTTCTGTCCATATAATATAATAATTGATATTTTTTAAGCTACGGGAACATTATATTTTCCTCGTGATTACATCTACCTCCGGTACGAGCAAAGATATTATATTAAATGCCACTAGAGTTTAGGGAAGTGATGTCACCCACGAAAACGGACGTGGGCCGCGTGAACGGAAGTTCCGCCTGCCCCGCCTTCCACCCCATGTCTGACACGCGTGACGTCACTGCTGTTAGCTCTAGTATTATATTATATAACCTCTTTGGATCGGATTTATAAAGGGCAATAACCCTAGAAATTCAAGCCTTCAGTAATTTTCACGGTTATTGCACTTTGACCGTATCTTGAGTATTCTTTCAGATTAATTTTTTTACACGCATAACCGTTTTGATGTGCCAGATGGATGGAGCTCGCTTTTCTGAGAAATTTGATACCCAAATCACCACTGTTACTCAATTTTTCAGACAGTTACTGATGTTCAAAGTTCAGTAACATTTGTAGTGGCCTAGACCTGATACTATTTTTTGTTGACAAGTGAAAATAAACCAGGCTGTGTTAGGTACCCGGTATCACTAAGAATGACTTGAAAAAGAAATACAGAGAATTCTGAGGTGGAGGTCATCACCGTTGCTAGGGAAACGACGGACATCTTGGATTTAAAAAAAAACAATATGTGCAGATAGTTCTTTATCCAATTATGCTAAAAACTGCCCAAAACACAAAATTAGGCATAGATCTAGATCTAGACTAGATCTAACTGGCCCTTTGATATATTATTAAATTTGGGGTAAAACTTTTTTTTCCAGATTTTCAAAATCTAGACATCTAGATCTAGATCTAGATCTAGATCTATCTAGATCTAGAATCTAGATCTAGATCTAGATCTAGGTGTAATGGCATTATTATATTTTTAGACCATCATGACACCCTAAGGTCAAAATTCTACATTTATCATAATTTTTGTATGTATTTTGAGAAAAAAAAATAGCCCATTTCCTGTAAATAACATATCTTATCTTCATCCACTGAAAATTTGAAAGCTAAAGATCTAGACTCTAGATCTATAGATCTAGATCTAGCTCTTGAATGCCTTAAAAAAAAAAAAGAACAATCAGATCTGCATCTGGAGTCATCTAGATCTAGATCTAGATCTAGAATCTAGATCTAGATCTATATCTAGATCTAGATCCTACTCGACTTAGTCTGGTCACCCAATAAATATCATGATTTTTTAGAAAAATGGTTTTGAAACTGGAATAAAGCTTTCACAAGTAGATCTAGATATAATCTAGATCTAGATTAGATCTAGATCTAGATATCTAGAATCTAGATCTAGGCTTACTCCACCCACCAAACAGAGGCCAAAACAAACTGTTACATTGGAATAAGTGAAGTGAAACAATCAGTTTCCAAGCAACAGCAGCAACGGTGTCTACTTCGATGCCTCCAGGGAATCCACCACCTTCATAGGTTTTTCTCCTCCTTTCTCAACTGAAGATGAATTTCACTTTATAAATTATTTTCTATTGTCCACACTTTGTATGTCAAAGGAAATTGTTAATTCTTCCCAGCCTGACTCGGCCCAGTGACAGAAATATGCCTAGATCTAGATCTAGATCTAGATCTAGATCTATATTCTAGTATAGATCTAGATCTAGTATATGCAATGTTTGACCCACGTAAGAGAGTCTAGATCTAGATTTAGATCTAGATATCTAGATCTAGAATCTAGATCTAGATCTAGATTTAGATCTAAATCTAGATTTAGATTAGATCTAGATTAGATTCTAGATCTAGATCTAGATATCTAGATCTAGATCTAGATCTAGATCTAGATCTAGATCTAGATCTAGATCAAGATAAGAAAGAGAACATCCTGTACTTTTTCATTATGGTATCTTTATTTATCAAATGAGTGTTTTATTTGGTATGATGTGGGCCAATGACCTTAAACTTAAACACTGAATAAGCCTACTTACTTACTAGATCTAGATCTAGATATATCTAGTCGATCTAGTACATGTACTGACTCTTCCTTTCTCTTCCTTTTCCTGTTCTCCTCGATCTTCTTCTTTCTATCAAAGCTGACGTCATTTGTTTACATTCAACAGTGGAAAACGGAAGTAACCAACTTTATCTTTCACTGCGCATGCGCTGTAACGCCGGAGCCGGCCGAACAGCAACTTCGGTTATGCAAATGAGCACGGGGATAAAACGAGGCCAACCACATGGTCTCCCAACTCAGTCAAAACAAAGAAAGTTTAGAAAGTGCATTTCCACCCTTGAAAGCAAAAATGTCATAAGTGCCAAAATAAACAAATCAGACATAAACACATGGCTGAATAGAGCTTGATGTCACCTTTCAAAGCAATTTGTCTTACCTTAATACTCAAACTTGTTCAAAATTTTCATTCACGATTTTTTCCAAATAGCAGTCATGGCACTTAAGACATTTTTGCTTTCATGGGTCGATTTGCAGTTTAGGGATTCCCTTTCCGAACAGTCGCTCTTTTCTGTTAGTACTGTGAGTATGTTATTGTAGAAACCCTTCGAAAATCGGAATCTTTAATACCCAAGCTTTCGGGCAATGAAGAACTCGTCTATTACAGTATTGTCTTTAATAAATCAAAGTGTCCGTGTGTGTGTGTGTATGTGTGTGTGTGTGTGTGTGTGTGTGTTTACATAAATAAGTAGCTTTTACTGCCAGCTTTTTCAGGGTTTTTTTGCAAAGAACTTAATGTTCATCCACAAAACTAAGGAAAAAGAAAACCAAAGTGTAAGATTTTTGTTGTTCTTTCGGCTCATGGAATCCTGAAGAGCCTAACTGGTACAGTACACCACAACAGTACACCACAACAGTACACCACAACAGTACACCACAAACACTGGACACTGGAGGCAAAATCTGGTCATAGGATCTCTAGTTTCAAGAGCAACATAAAATATTTTAGAACTGCACTTTCAACTACATGTGGGCGTAATATATAACTATTGTGAAGAAAAGTTCCAATTGTCACATCTAGAGAAATTTCTTTCTTTTTGCAGAGAGGAAATAACATCTCAGAGCAAACAAAAAGTGAAAAGAACCTGACAAAAAAAATCAAAGTTATTCAATAACCAATTATATTTTTTTATGAAACAGACAATATGACTTTGGATTTTGAAGGAACAAAAAAAATCTTACACTTTCTGAAGAAAAATTATAAACTTTCAAGACGCGGTTTGCGAATAATAATGAGAACAAAGACAATCGATAGACTGTAGTTGTGTCTGTTACCATAGCTAGCTGTTGACTGTGAATTTATTGAATACATAAAAATGTATATATGGAAGGTTTGGAGGGGGGTTACTTGGCCAGTGTCCACCATCTTGACCCACCTTGTGGGTAGAGTCTGTTTCTTGTTTTGAAAAGTTGGCAGCTTTGTAAATGGAGAGTTTCTGCTGGGATTTTGTATCCTTCTCAACCCAGGTTGGTCCTGACAGGCAGGGTCAAAACCCGCCTCCTAGATAATCTAAATTGTGTTGATGGGGGTATAAAAGACACCTACTGAAAACAACCTGAAACAGGTCAGAGCTGCTGTATAGTAGGATGTCAATCGTCTCTTGACTTGAAACGTTGAAATTCTGTTTGTTGAGTTTGCAAGTGTGGTAGACTTGTTGAAAATGATTCTGTTTGCTTTATATCACTGGTTCAAATCATGTACAATGACTTGTGCCACTTACAATAACTTTACAGATTTGAAATATTTGAATGACGGCCTGAACAAGGGAATGCTGCATAAATGTTGGTATTGTTATATAGTATTGGTATGCCTTATATTACTGTCCATTTCAATAAATATTCGTAATTTTCTATAATTTTAATGAGTTAACTTTGTCTTCTTTTGGTTGAGAATATTTTTTCTGGCACGTCTCTAACTGCGACGCACCACAGAAGCTGGTTATATTTAAAAATCCAAGATGGCCGTGGTTTCGAGGAGAAAAAACCCAACCCAAACAGCTGCTGGAACGACGGAGGAAACTGAGTGGAAGCATAAAGAAGTCTGTCAGAGACATACAACCTACCAGAAAGTGCTGTAGTTTACTGTGAGTGACAGGCAAAAAGTGAAGATCTAGGTGTTTTGAACCCCAAAAACGAAAACATTTGTTTTAGTAAGTGTTTTACAGCACTTGCAACAAAACAAAAACTAAAAACCCAACACAAAACTTGCTGGAACAATAAGTAGACAACAATAAGTAGACAACAATAAGTAGACAACAATAAGTAGACAACAATAAGTAGACAACAATAAGTAGACAACAATAAGTAGACAACAATAGGTAGACAACAATAGGTAGACAACAATAGGTAGACAACAATAAGTAGCCAACAATAAGTAGCCAACAATAGGTAGACAACAATAGGACAATAAGTAGCCAACAATAGGTAGCCAACAATAGGTAGACAACAATAGGTAGACAACAATAAGTAGACAACAATAAGTAGACAACAATAGGTAGACAACAATAGGTAGACAACAATAGGTAGACAACAATAAGTAGCCAACAATAAGTAGACAACAATAGGTAGACAACAATAGGACAATAGGTAGCCAACAATAGGTAGCCAACAATAGGTAGCCAACAATAGGTAGCCAACAATAAGTAGACAACAATAAGTAGCCAACAATAGGTAGCCAACAATAGGTAGCCAACAATAGGTAGCCAACAATAGGTAGACAACAATAGGTAGACAACAACAAGTAGACAACAATAAGTAGACAACAATAGGTAGACAACAATAAGTAGACAACAATAAGTAGACAACAATAAGTAGCCAACAATAGGTAGACAACAATAAGTAGACAACACGAAGAAGCAGCAAAGGAAGGTCTAGCTAGATATCTATGTGTGGTCAGAAAGAAAACAACAACAACACGAAATACGCAAACGGACAGGAATGTTTATATAGATATATATATATAAGGCCATAAGAAGAAGCCAGTGACAGGAATGTTTATATATAATTATAATATATATATATAAGGCCATAAGAAGAAGCCAGTGAAAGGTATACAGTATACAATAAATTGCTGAAGCAAAAAATGGACATTAAAAAACCCAAAGATTTGAGGGTTTTAACGAGCACAAAACGTCCTCAAAAACCCGATATTGGAATGATTAAATGGCAACATGACAAAGCACTTGAGAGGCATAGGGTAAATTGCTGTCGTCAAAATCAACGTTCAAAAAGTCAAAAAGCACTGACCTGGTTGATAATAAGGAAAAACAAACTCTACAAAAATAGGAAACAAATATTTGCTGGACTAGTAGCCTCATCATATTCAAAGAACCATTGAGAAGAGAGCTTTACTCAGGAATACTAATACAAGGTCACAGGACTTTCTTTGTCCTCCGTGCAAGGTCACTTGACTTTCTTTGTCCTCCGTACAAGGTCACAGGACTTTCTTTGTCCTCCGTACAAGGTCACTCGACTTTCTTTGTCCTCCGTACAAGGTCACTCGACTTTCTTTGTCCTCCGTACAAGGTCACTCGACTTTCTTTGTCCTCCGTACAAGGTCATCCTCCATACAAAAAGGTCACTCAACTTTCTACTTAGTAGTTAGTTGTGGTCAATGCATTTAGAGATATTTAACTTAGTACTTGTAATAAATGGGATCATCTTGAGTTACTTAGTAGTTGTGATAAATGCAGTTAAGAGTTATTTAACTTAGTAGTTGTGATAAATGCAGTTAAGAGTTATTTAACTTAGTAGTTGTGATAAATGCAGTTAAGAGTTATTTAACGTAGTAGTTGTGATAAATGCAGTTAGTTATTTAACTTAGCAGTTGTGATAAACGTACAATGAGCTGACCCTTGATACAAAAAACCCCCATCAGACGTCGCTCAAGGAACAACACAAAAAAAACGGGGTGGGGGGAGAGGGAGGGAGGGAGAGAGGAAGACCGAGCAACAGATTATTTACTGGGCAGACCTTCATCCCGCTACAAACAAACCCATCACAAGTGTATATATATATATATATCTATATCTGTCCCCGTTGAATTATGCAAATTTAGATGGCCAAATTATGCACAAAAAAAGCAAAATTAAGCAAAAATTAAGCTGTAACACCATTCGCGATACGTTTTGCACCTTTTCAGCAAAAGAATTTTCATGATTTTCATGCAGTAATTTGTTGTGTATTTGGAAAAAAAACTATACACATCAGTCAGAAAAAAAAACAACCAAAAAATATAATCTCTGTAACTTTCAGCTGTAGATCTAGATTCTAGATCTCTAAAGAGGAAAGAAAAATGTAAAAAAAAAAAAAAAAAAGGACATCTGGACCTCTGATGCTGGCACATTACTAAAACCAGGGACACCTGCCAAACATGAAACATCAGCAGACATGAGAACAACAACTTTTGACGGATTGAAAAATTGAACATGCTCAAGGAACAAAATCCCAACCCATAACCAAGATCTTCTAACAAGGGAAATAACCAGCTTTTCTCTTAAATGAGAGTTATTACGGTGATTATTTCCCTTTAGTCACGTGGCGAGGCGTTCATTCACTGTTTAGGGGAAAAAACGTGAAAAAACGCGGGGAATCCAAAATTATGCAAATGTTGCAGAATTACGCGAAAAAACGCGGCCGCGCCGCGGCCATACAATCGTATAATCCTACGGGGATAGATATATATATAATAATATGGTCCTTTTAAGGACAAGCGGGATAACCCAGATTTCAGGGGATTCCAGAAATCTTGACCTACACCAAAAGTGGACATTGCCCTACCTATAGGAGAAGTTTGGTTTCATTGGTGTGTATATTTGTTTGGTTATAGAGAAAACTCTCCTTGTCTTTTAAAGAAACTGAACATGGGGCAAAAACTTTACCTTCGATTTTCTCAACACAGCATTTTTCGGGATAGCCCCCTGGTGCTTAAAAGCGACCAAATATATAGACATATAAAAAAGAACATAAAATATCATTTAGGAAACCAAAAATACAGAGTATCTCGTCTCCCATATATACGTGGAGATTTATGGATCCAACAGCGCCAGTTGAAAACTGATTGCGGATGAGATCGCTAGACTCAAGAACCGGAGACAGAACATGGACGGCAAACGTTCATCTGACTCGCTGGTAATAATAAAATGTCAAGGTCAGATCATACTTTATCCCCCAGGACTAGAACGAAATACGATTTATAAAAAATTCAAAATGCATAGAAAAGTAAAGTTGTTCCCGCATACGAATGTGAAAATTGGGGATTGTCTTGTTAGTGAGACAACTTCCTGGGCCTTCGGCATATTGTTGTAGGGTGGCCAGTTCCTTTCCACGCCGCCTTTACTTCCCCAACTCGAAGTCAGGTACCCAATACTGCTGGGTGGGCAGGAGGGGGCGAAAAAATGCGTGTCCGAACCGAGGCTCGAAATACGATTTACTAAAATGTCAAAATGCATAGTAGGCTACTACATTATAATTAACACTAAAAGTAAAACTGAATAAAACAAAACAGAATTTCCAATAAAGAATACTGAATAGGGAGATCATTATTTGGGAAAGTCAACTGGAAATTGCAAGTCCCTGGACAGACATCGACAGAGATCCTCAATTTGACTAAAATTAGTCTGGATACTTTCTGGTACTGTACAAAAATATGTGGAATATTTCTCTCTTTCTCTCTCTCACTCTCTCACACATACACACACACACACACACAAACACACACATAATACATAACAACAGTGGAATATTTCTCTCTCTCTCTCTCTCTCTCACACACACACATACACACACACACACACATAATACATAACAACAGTGGAATGCTTCTCTCTCTCACTCACACACACATACACACACACACACATAATACATAACAACAGTGGAATGCTTCTCTCTCTCACTCACAAACACACACACACACACACATCTACTTGTGTAACTGGAAGATATAGGTCAACTATATATATATAATCTGTTCTTTAACCCTTCCCACCCCTGCCATTTTTGTGCACCCCCTAACCCCAGCCCCAGCCAATACAGCAGTAGTTCAGAAAAAGAGGCGTGCATTCTAAAAAGTGATGTAGTATCTTTGTAATGAGGTTTAGATAATAACATATACCAATCTCTAAAAGTAAATGAACAAATATCATGAAAATTAGCTTTAGTAAGAGTTTTACAGCACTTGCAACACAATAAGGTCCTATGAAAATTAACGTTTAATTAGGTTGGCTAATTTCCAAAAAGGCGCAAATTCGGTACCCACCTAAAGTGAGAAGATACGCTCTTGGGACGGTGGGAGGAACAAGCGTGGCTGAAAATAGATGTGCACGGGGCTGGAAAGGAGGACAATTACCGAGCTCCATCTGCGGGTTCTCTATAGAAATGAGGAGTGAGCCTGTGCTATAAATAGTATCTACGTTACTGTGGGCTAACGTTTGACTTTTCTCTCAGCAGTTCAATCAGATGAGGTTTTTTTTGTTTTGTTTTTTATTCAGAAAAATCTCCAAGAGACCATTTACATGGTTCGTTAAGCTTTACACAATAGTTGGTCGCTTTTAAGGACAAGCGGGCTAAATTAAGTTTTCATTTCCCATTCGACCACAAAACAAAAACAAACAAGCGAACAAAAACTACCATGGCGGGTGTCTAAATAACAGTGCACACTTTTGCGGGACGCTATAGGCCTACTTACAAACAAAGGGAAATAGCACGGGGAATTTTCTACATGAAAATCTCTGGATTATGTCTACTTCGCACTCAAGCACGCTTCGGCTTTAAGCACGCTTAAGCTTTCTACCGATGACCGTGCTTAAAGCCGGCATGGACCGTATTACAAAAGTAGGTGTGGCATTGAGGCAGGAAGTGGAGAGCCGTGACACACAGCTCGTGGCAGTGAAAGAGTTCAGCTTTACACAATAACTGACACTTGAACCGAAATCTTCCAAATCTGGTTCCGCACTACAAACCTACTACACCGCACAAACCAGCCCAAAAATAAATCTAAAAATAAAGATTATAATCAAAACTTGGATCCTGTATCGCTAGCAAAGCATCATGGGAGATCCAACATGGCTGCCATCAAGGGCGGGTTGTGGAGCTCTACCCTGCGGAGGCCGAGATCATCCACGGGACTCGTCTCCCTTTCCTGTCGCAGGTAGCGCTGGTGGTTGTCGCGGCAACGAGACATGAGTGAGGTCACTTCCTGCGTCATCTCATCCATGCTGGTCGCCTCCTGTACACCCTGCAGGGGGAGGAAAATACACATACAGTCAATGTGTTTGTTATGTAACGTGTATAGTCAATGTGTTTGTTATGTTACGTGTATAGGCAATGTGTTTGTTATGTTACGTGTATAGTCAATGTGTTTGTTATGTTACGTGTATCTGGAACCTGAAGACGAAGGCCAACAAGAGACTTAACCTTCTCAGACGACTGGCTAGCACTTCATGGGGAGCGGACAAGGATGCACTCAGACAGCTATATGTTGGCTATGTACGATCTGCCATGGAATATAACCTAACTTTACAGACAATCTGCAGCAAACCAACTCAGAGGTCTCTTGACAAAATTCAAAACCAAGCTGTACGATTTATCTCCGGAGCTTTGAGATCCACTCCAACTGCAGCTTGTGAAATCCACACGAACCTGGAACCCCTGGACTTGCGGAGAGAGGCAGCTGTAGTAGAGATGAGTGAGCGCTACAAAAGACTGGAGAAAAACCACCCAAACAGGAAAATAATTGAACAGAGACGACCAAAGAAACGGATTCATGGAAGATCAATACTTGACACAGCCACTGAACTAGCAGAAAAACACCATCTTCCATGTAAAAGAGAAATGCTGAAACCTTTAAGACCAGAACTCCCCCCAAACACTAACATCAAGAACGCCAACATCAAAACCTCCCTCATAAAAGAGACAGTGAAAAAGGAATGTGACCCAGTAGAACTGAAGACAACAGCTCTGAAGACAATTGACTCCTACCCTAGTGATTCAATTCATATTTATACAGACGGGTCAGCCTTCAAGGGAACTATAAACGCAGGCTTTGGGGTAAGAATTGAACATCCTGACAAAACATGTGAAGAGCTATTTGACGCATGTGGTACTTCTTGTACAAATTACGAGGCTGAGGCAATCGCCATTGAAGCAGCAATCCTCCACCTGACCAACATTTTCATAATATATCCAAACAAAATCAAGAACACTATTATCTTCACAGACGGAAAGTCAGTACTCCAAGCTCTGGAAAACATGAATTTCGAAAGCCCAGCCTGCCTATCTGTGGCTCAAACAATCAACACCTTCCTACAGACCTATGCCGTCGACCTGACACTACAGTGGATACCTGGCCACAGCAACATCCCAGGAAACGACAGAGCAGACACCCTTGCCAAGAAGGGAGCATCACAAACACAACCACACAACCCAGTATCACAACAGACAGCCAAGAACATCATCAAATGCAACACCAGGGAACAGTGGCTGAATGGATGGGCAATGGGCAAAACTGGAAGAACTGTATTTGCACACATGACAGCCCCCAACTCTAAAGATGCAATAAATTCCCTGAGTAGAAGAGAACAAGCCACGATATTTCGCCTGCGAACACAACACATACCACTAAATTCCTACCTTAATAGGATCCGCAAGGATACCCCACCTGACTGCCCGCTGTGCGACTGCCAGGATGAAACAGTACCACACCACCTCTTTAACTGCCCTGCACTTTGTGACCTGCGTAGCACCTACCTACCTGCCTCCCCAGACATCGGAAACACTCTATACAGCGACAAAGCACAGCTGATTAAAACCTGTCAATTCTTTGCCATATCGACAGACCGAAGGGCTAGAACCCAAATGGCCGCTGGATCGGAAAAGTAAAGTAAAGTAAAGTAAAGTATGTTACGTGTATAGTCAACGTATTTGTTATGTTACGTGTATAGTCAACGTACAGGAGGACTGCGTTTGTTATATGGTCGCTTTTAAGCGAAAAATGCTGTTTTAGAAAATCGAAGGACAAGGTTTTGTACCCCTGTTCAGTTTCTTTAAAAATCAAGGAGAGTTTTCTCTATAACCAAACATATACACACCAATGAAACCAAATTTCTCCTATAGGTAGGGCAATGTCCACTTTTGGTGTAGGTCAAGATTTCTGGAAACCCCGAAATCTGGGTTAGCCCGCTTGTCCTTAAAAGCAACCAATTATTATGTGCATAGTCAATGTATAGGGAGACTATACAAGTGGTCGTCTTGTACAGGTGATAGTTTTGGAAAGGTGATTGTCTTAGACAGGTGGTCATTTTGGACAGTTTAATTTTAGTGTGTTACGGCACTTGAAATACAATAAGGTCATATAAGTGCCGAAGATTAGAGGTGTTACAAGAGAGTAACAAACACAAAAAAGAAGGAGGGGAGATAAAGACGATAGATGTTAGATAGGAAAGAAGAAGCAAACCACAGAGAAGCACCCAACAACCACCCATCATCTTAGACAAGTGGCCGTTAGAGCAGGCTGGACTGTGAACAAATGGCGGCGTGCCTACCTTGATGGCCACAGCTTCAGCTGTCAGGAACAGCTGGCGCACCGAGTGCAGGAGATTGCAGGCGTTCCTGGCCAGCATACGGTCGCCCTGGGGGGGACACAGGTGGACACAGTTCTCAGTGGACAAAGTTCTCAGTGGACAAATGGACAAAGTTCTCAGTGGACAAAGTTCTCAGTGGACAAATGGACAAAGTTCTCAGTGGACAAATGGACAAATTTCTCAGTGGACAAATGGACAAAGTTCTCAGTGGACAAAGTTCTCAGTGGACAAATGGACAAAGTTCTCAGTGGACAAAGTTCTCAGTGGACAAATGGACAAATGGACAAATTTCTCAGTGGACAAATGGACAAAGTTCTCAGTGGACAAAGTTCTCAGTGGACAAATGGACAAAGTTCTCAGTGGACAAAGTTCTCAGTGGACAAATGGACAAAGTTCTCAGTGGACAAAGTTCTAAGTTCTCAGTGAACAAAGTTCTCAGTGGACAAAGTTCTAAGTTCTCAGCGGACAAAGTTCTCAGTGGACACAGTTCTCAGTGGACACAGTTCTCAGTGGACACAGTTCTCAGTGGACACAGTTCTCAGTAGACAAAGTTCTCAGTCCACTGTTAGAAAAACTTTTCACTTTCACTTCAAAATATACCGTCAGCGAGTTGCTTAACCCTATCCGTATGTCGTGTTTTACCATCGTATCCATACGACATGGGGAATTCTGTTCCACCATTTTCTAAAGAGGAAATCTACTCGTTAATCCGATCCATACGCTTTGCATAGCAGTCTGTCAAAATGATTTTTGGAAAAATACAGAAAGTTTCAAAGAGATCTTCGCACTAGAAGTATTCTAAAATGTGAAGAATACAACCCTGGGGGTACAAAATGACCCCGGGGGTACAAAATGACCCCGGAGCGTACGGATAGGGTTACATGCACTAGAACTAGATCTAGCCCAGAAAGCAACATTTTTGAAGACACGAGAAAAAAAAAAGTGGATCGAGGGTGTCAAGGAAACCCTGAGAAAACATAACATCCCAACTGAAAGAGCTGCGGAGCTGGCCTACCACCATAGAAAAGTGCATCTCCCCTCGACGCTTAACGGCAGCAGAGGATGAACAAGTCAAAGTAAAGTAGAGCTAACTGTAACACTGAAATTGGTCAACATTTAGCGCATGTTGTTTGTCGCCCAGTAACTTCCCATCTTCCTGAGCTGAGTTCCTCTACAGCAATGTCCTGCAACTGTCGCTTGTAGCAAGATAAGATAAGATAAGATAAGATAAGATAAGATAAGACAAGATAAGATTTTATTATCCCAGAGGGAAATTTTCCTTGGCTGTACAGGACCGTAAAAACACATGCAGGTATACATAAAAGATTTAAATTATATATATCACTCTCATTAAAATTCACTATATGAAAAGAGAAGTAAAGCTGACAAAATGAACACATCACATCAGACGCATCATTCAACCACATGCAGGAATTTAGTTACAAGACCTTTGGAGTTATATAGAGTAAAGCTAAAAATAGAAAACATTTGTCTGGTCCCGAGACTCGAACCCTTACCTCGACGGACTGGGCCGAGTTCTGTAGAGCGGTGGCGATAATGTTGAGCTGCGAGGAAAAGTTCCCCATCTGACTGCCGCAGATCTCAGCGTTGGAGGCCAGCCTGGAAGGGCAGTTTAGTTTTAGCAAGACTTTTACGGCACTTGCAACACAATAAGGTCATATGAGTGCCGAAGATTAGAGGCGTTACAAGAGAGTAACAAACACAAAAAAGAAGGAGGGGAGATAACGACGATAGATGTTTGATAGGAAAGAAGAAGCAAACCACACCAGAGCACCCGCCAGCCAGTTGGAGTTTGGAGTCTGGACACGATAACAGTCATTTAGTGCTGGGGAAAAGTCAGACAGACAGACATAGACAGAAACAACAGAGGGAAGGTAAAGAAGTACGACCTACCAGTGACACCCTCCAACCACCCACACAGACAGAAGCAACAGAGGGAAAGTAAAGAAGTAGGACCTACCAGTGACACCCTCCAACCATCCACACAGACAGAAGCAACAGAGGGAAAGTAAAGAAGTAGGACCTACCAGTGACACCCTCCAACCACCCACACAGACAGAAACAACAGAGGAGAAAGGGGGAAAAACAGGACTGTGTTTCACAAATCATAAATATATTTTAATATTTTCTTAAAAACCTAACACCCTCCCCCCCCCACACACCCAACATAGACACACACACAAACAAACAACAAACACACACAAACAACAAACACACACAAACAAACAAACACACACACAAACAACAAACACACACAAACAACAAACACACACAAACAAACAAATACACACAAACAAACAAAAGAAACAAACAATCAAACAAACAAAAACAAAATGGCCTGGGGTCAGGAGTCACACACAAAAACAAACACACACAAACCAACAACCAAACAAACAAACACACACAAACCAACAATCAAACAAACAAACACACACAAACCAAAAAACAAACAAACAACCAAACAAACAAACACACACACAAACAAACAACAAAACAAACAACAAAACAAACACACACACACAAACAAACAACCAAACCAAACAAACCAACACACACACAAACAAACCAAAAAACAAACACACACACACAAACCAACAACCAAACCAAACAAACCAACACACACACAAACAAACAACCAAACCAAACAAACCAACACACACAAACAAACCAAAAAACAAACACACACACACAAACAAACAACCAAACAAACAAGCAAACAACCAAGCAAACGACCTTGGGTCAGGGGTCAGCCGCTGCAGGGTGCGGCCAAAGTCGGACAACAAGCCCACGTGCTGTGTGACGGCCACCGCCGCACCGATCACTTCCTCCGACCTCTGGACGGGAAAACACAAACACACAAATCAGATTGAACTTTTTTTGGTGGTTTTTTTTTGTAAAAAAAAGTGTTTTACGGCGCTTGCAACTGCATAAGGTCAAATGAGCGCGTGGGACACACCAAACATTTTCAGTAGGTAGGAAATTTTGAATTTTGCACTGGTGGCAACCGAAGCCTACTCTTATCGATTTTAGTTTTAATTTTAGTGAGTGGTTTACGGCACTTGCAACACAATAGGGTCATATAAGTGCCGAAGATTAGAGGTGTTACAAGAGAGTAACAAACGCAAAAAAGAAGGAGGGGAGATAAAGACGATAGATGTTTGATAGGAAAGAAGGAGCAAACCACATCAGAGCACCCGTCAACCACCCACACACACGGATCAGTTCATCATCATCATCCCGTGCCAGATCTGCAACAGACATCGGCGATCATGGTTCTCCATTCATTCCTTTGCTCGGATGCTCTAAAAAAAACTAGGTTTCCCTGATCTTTCCCTGTTATCCATTTGTTTAGGTTACCCAGGTATGTTGTTCTGGGCCTTCCCCTGCCTCGCTTGCCCTCAATTTCAGTTACACCACCTAAAAGACTGAGTAAACTGTGTCGAAGGGGGCCTAAAACCTTCCCAACCAATCAGCCAATCACAAGTGTCACCTGAAAGCAGCCGCCTCCCTTTGTGAAGAGCGTCATGTTGGAGCAGAGCCGCGCGACCTCCAGGGCCGCCTGAACGACCTTCGACCCCCGGGGCGTGACCTCTTCGTCCTCGTCCCCTTCCCTGTCCGTCTCCAGCCATTTGTGCAGCCGGAAGTCCAGGAACTGGGCGTCTTTCTGCCGAGACCAATCAGGAAGATTTTTGTTTTAGTAGAGGTTTTACGGCGCTCCCAACAGCATAAAGCAGGGTGTCCAGCAATATTTCCTGAAAAAATTTATTACCACGAAAAAATAATTTAGTACTCAGCAAATCAAGCTCCACACCAGCTCGAAAAATGAGAGTTCTTTTTTAGTTTTAGTAAGTGTTTTACGGCACTTGCAACATAATAAGGTCATATAAGTGCCGAAGATTAGAGGTGTTACAAGAGAGTAACAAACACAAAAAAGAAGGAGGAGAGATCAGGACGATAGATGTTTGATAGGAAAGAAGGAGCAAACCACACCAGAGCACCCGCCAACCACCCACAAATCAGGAAGAGACAAATCGTCAACCCCATTGCTCGAGCCCCCAAGTCATGTATTCCAAGTAAAGAGACAAATACTCCCCCTCCCCCCACCCCACC